TCCCTCCTTTATCTGCCTCCCCCCAGCCGGGTTTCCAGGGCATGCAGACAGTGGGCAAACAGCCTCCTCTGCCCGCTGCAGGCAGGAGAATGAGATGCTGTGTCCCTAGAACACCCCTGGGGTACTGCCATCCTCCAGCACCCCTCAGCACCCCCCTGGCATCCAGCTCAAAGAGGCAGGACCCCCCTGCTAAAAAAAAAATATGTGGGACACAGGCTTGAAATTTTTCTTTCAGGGAAATATTTCTGCAAAGGAGCCACTTTAGGTTTATTCTACAAGGGTTATATTTTTCCATGTTATTTTTTTAATTTTCTCTCTCTCTTTCTCTCTCTCTCTCTTTTTTTTTTTTTCATAGTAAAATGATGGTTCTTTTAACTTTCAGTAATTTGTGGAAATTAAAAAAAAAAAAAAAAAGAAAATCATTTGCAACGCGACCCAGATTTAAATGGCACTCTGAAATGGATGTCGCCTGGCTTTGTTTTTTTTGCCTTTTTTTTTTTTTTAATGAACAGACTCCCAGAATGGTGAAAAATCTCTTAAATCTAGATCATGAAAGTGAAATGAATTGTTTTCTTGATTTTTTTTAAATGTTCCTGACAAATAATTTTTCTGTATCTGAAAGGAGATTAAAATAATCTTCGTTTTACACGTAGCTCACAGAAGCATATTTTACCATTGGAAAATAAAGTAAAATGGCATAAACCAGAGAGACTTAAAATATATAAATTAGTAAAAGGGTGGAATCAGCTCTTTCCTCGGGTTCATGTGTGTAAAAAGGCATTTTTATATCTTGCCTGAGCTAAGACTATAGCTGCCTGCTTTCAGAAGTGGTTTCTTCCCTTGAATTAAGTACCAAGGTAGTAAAGATACAGTATTTATAAGCCAAAAAATAAAGCAGGCACAATTTATTAAACAGCTACAATGTGACAATAAATAATTTTAATGTCAATCAAAATCGGATTATTGTCACTGAAATTTGGATTGAAAAGATAAAAGCCTGAAAAGAAGAATTGAAATCCAACACTGGAGACGATTCCAATATCTTTGTTCCTCGCAATAAATATTTTGGGTGAGAGTTTAAACCAGCTCATTCTTAATTTGGGGGAAAAAAGGTTGAGTGTTGTAGACTTTTAAGAAATATACTAAGAAAATATATTAATTTTTGGGATTGGTGAGAAGAGCTTTTTTTTTGTGAGAAATAAAAAAAAAAAATTATTGTATTTTTAAAAAAAACTGTTTGGGTTTTAATTTTCTTTTCAGTGTCAGACAGTGGTGGGAGAGGGATGCTTTTCTTGACCTAGTGAATATTCCCTCTTCTTCCTCCTATTTTGGAAAACCCAAACTCAGCACCTCTTGAATTAAATTGGGGTGAAGCCGCCCATGATTTGGGATTGGCATTTTTTGGTGCAGCCGCACTCCAAAGGCCCAGGGAGCCCCGGCTGCCGTGGGGTGTCTGCTCCCACACAGCCCCAGCCCGGGCAGGGACCCCCTTCCAAAACCCTCTGCTCCCAGGGATATTCACAGGGGTAGTGTGTACATCCAGGGTGAAAACAGCCCTTTCTCAAGGCGGTAAAAACCCCAATAATTCCCTGGTGGGGAGCAGGGCGTGTGGGAGAGTGGAGGCCAAAGGCAGAGCTTTGGGAGAAGCATCCCCATCGTCTGTTTTGTAACTCCCAAATGAGGATGATGAGGATGGGGTGCGGGCAGGGCTGCTCGGTTCCCCTGAGGGGCTGAGGCTGTCTGGGCAGGAGAAGGGTCCCTTCCCAATCCCCTTCCTGACAGCACTGCCCAGCTGCCCGCCGGCCTCCGGCAGCGGCTCTGCCTTGGCACCGAGTTCAAACCGTGCCAGAACCGGCAAATATTCACTGGAGTGGCCGAGGCAGAAACACTCCGTGTGTCTCTAGGGCAACGTGTTTGTTCTGCAGCCCAGTAGTGCCCAATCCCTCCTTGAGACAAAGCTCCCAATTGTTTTTACCAGGTTTTAGGTGCACAGTATAAATAAATACAGCTATTTATATATATTTAAAGGTCAGCATGTGCACACCAAATTAATGCCCAATATTGGTGGTAAAGCCAGGGTGTCAGAACACACACGGATGGAGGTGTGGGCTAGGAGTGGGATGTCTAAGTTTGTCCCCGGAGCGGCTGATGGATGGACAAGGAGGAACCGGCGGGGTTTTAATCAGCATGTGTGTGTGTGTGTGTGTGTGTGACAATAGTTGGGTGAAGAAGGGGACCTGACACCAGCATCCTCGATTTGTTATAAATCACACATATAAAAATTGAGGGGGGGGGAAATTAAATCTTGGGGATCTCAGTGCTTTTAGTGCCAACTCAATCCCCAAGCTGGAACAAGGCTTTGCCAGCCCTGAAATAAATGATGCTTCACCTAATGGCTCTCATCCCTTCCCCACTGCCTCCGACCAGGCAGCTTTAGGGTTTTAATGATGCCGATGTGATGAGAAGCAATGTCTGGGCCTGGTGCTGATTTTTGCCAGCAAAGGTAGCCCTGCCAGGTGGGGTGGACGCCCTGGGGGACTCGTGGTGGGGAGGGGAGGCTCGTCCCCATGTCCCCAGGTCCCCGCTCGGCCGTGGCTTCGCTGATGCTCCGCAGCCGCCGGGCTCCTCTCTCTGCTCAATTGCACAGCGCGCAAATGGAATCGCTCTCCTCGCTGTGTTTGTGGCCATGGGAGTGGAAGAATTACATTGGGCTGAAAATAGTATTTACTTTTACTGATTGAAAAATAGATGTTAGGAAAAAAAAAATAAAAAAAAAAAGCAAAAGCAGGAATTGAAACTATAATTACAACAAACCATATGTAAACTCCCAGGTAAACACTGATTATACTGTGTCATTTCAGCCAGACTTTATTAGCGAGGGAAGAACAGAATTTTCTTTCTCTCTCCGCCCGCGGCGGATGCAGCATGCAGGATCCCACTGCCTGCCATTTGCAGAACACTTTTCACCCTAAAAAATCTCAGGTTCGTGGCCTGATCCTGCATAGCTCTCATCAGCTGCGTTTCCTAGGTGAGCTGTGCCATTCCCCTCGTGTGGCTGCAGAGTGGGGCTCTCAGGGTGCTGCTGTGGGTGCAGGTCTGAGCTGCCCCTGGCATATCCTCTTCTTTGGGGAGAGGCAGGGAAGGGACCAGAGTGCGCCAGGGGAAGAGAAACTCAGAGTGTGGGACCCAGCCTGCTCACTCCTACAGCCTGTCAGGGTGGGATGGGATGGGATGGGATGGGATGGGATGGGATGGGATGGGATGGGATGGGATGGGATGGGATGGGATGGGATGGGATGGGATGGGATGGGATGGGATGGGATGGGATGGGATGGGATGGGATGGGATGGGATGGCCCAGTTGCAGCACCCCCTTTCTCTCAGGCAGTTCACAGGCCCAGCTGCAGGAGGACAGGGATGGCCAGATCCATCCTTGGAGAAAAGCTGGATGAGATGAGTGACTGTAGCCTTGCCAGGCCCTTTTCTTGCTCCCTAGCAATGGAGCCAGACCCCCTTTGTCAGGGAGCTGCATCCCCAGCGCCCAGCACCCCAAATGCAGGAGAGGAGCGTGGCCAGAGTGTTGTTCCTGGATCTGTGTTACACGGTACAAGGTCCCACAAAGCCTCCAAAATCTCTCCTCCCTGCCAGGTCTGGTGGAGACGGAGCAATGCCATCACGACATGTCAGTGTCCCCTGTGGCGCTCTCAGGACACCTCAGAGCAGTTGCAGCATCCCCTCCTCTGCCCTGCAGTGCCGGGGTCACCCGGCAGCGCTGTCCCCTTCGGAGGAACATTTGGGGAGCTCTTGCCGCAGTTTCCTTGCGGGGTGGATGAGGGGAGATGGGAACGGAGGGGAAGAATGAAGCCACGAGTAGCGTGAGGAACGCCAGGTATCCTCACACAACGGCGCCGGGGGCTCGGCGGCCTTATAGCTTTGCCATAGTGGCACCCTGTGGCAAAACGCATTACTACAGCTGGCAGGGACTCCGGAGGGGGACACGGCCCGGGGACCCTCGCCCTGGGGGCTCACACCCCGCGGGGACACTGGCAGGCAGCGATGGGGATGCCGGGGGCTGAACTGCCGGTGGTGCCCTCCGCCGTGACATGCCAGTCCCCCGTGGCGGGTACCACCCATGTCCGCGGGGTCAGGGATGCTCATGCAGCCCAGACATCCCCTGGGATGCTGCCGGAGCGCTGGCAGGCTCGCTGGTCACTGCACTTCTGCTCGCCCGGGGCTCTCCGGCAGCATCCGAGCGGCCGGGCGGCGTGGGCTGTGCGGTGATGTGGAGCTGGGGGTGTGTGTGTGTGTGTTTGTGTGTTGGTTTTCTCCTCCCGGAGCAGACCCGGAGTGACGGAGCGAGCTCTTTGTCTGCCTTCGCCTGCCTGTCACGGCTCCCGGCGTTTCCCAGCCACCTTGCACGGCGCGCAGCCACTTTGGCAGGAGCTGTCTCGGAATTTTAATGCGGCTGATTAACGCGGCACGGTGGAATCGTGGAGCCAGCCGTACCCCTTCCCGAGCCTCGCCTTTTGGGGGAATACATAACCAAACCCAACCGGGCTCCCCCACTCACGCTGCCTCATCCTGCTCTGAACTGAGCTAGAGAATGGCACCGAACTGGAGGCGGGAGGTGATGCCAAAGGAAGAGATCCTGGTGCGTGTCCTGTGCCAGCCCAGAAAGCCCAGGGGGGTCACAGAGATGGCTCCGCCATCCTGGCACACAGGCGGTTCTGGGGCCGGCACAGGGACGTGTCAGGGGTTGTGGCACTGCATGACACGACAAGGAGTTTTGGGAAGGGTCACCTCTCCCTCTGGGAACAAGGGTGAGCAGTGGAAAACTCCAGGCAGAAGGGGAAGGTGAAGGGGGAGAGGGTGGAGAGGAAGTCTGCGTGCAGAGCAGGGAGAAGATGGCTGAGCAGATCTCTGAGCCACCCAGGAGATGACGAGGGGGAGTTATTGACATAGAGGACACATTGCTAAATTTTCAATCTGTCCCTTTCTTAGGTGGTGTTGACAGAAGAAGATGGGTAGGAGATTTCAATGGCAGGCACACGTGTCCCGGGAGAGGGTGAGACACCAACAGAGATGGAAGAAATGAGCCTTGGACAGCTGCAGGAGAGAAACCCAAACCTTCTTTGGAAATGGGGTCACCAGCAGGCTGGGGGCCCCTTATGAAATACTCATCCCTCCAGACATCTGAGAGCATCAAGCAGCCATCAGGACCTGGCGTGGGTCCCATCAGCACTGGGGAAGGTGCAGGGCTGAGCGAGGGGCTGGCAGAGACTCTGCCCCCCTTGTCTGTGGAGCTCTTAGAGGAGAGAAGGGTGCAGGAGGAGACCCCTCCTGAACATCAGCTGCTCTGGTGGGGCTGTGCCAGACCTCCACTGCAGCCAAAAATCACCTGGGGAAGAAGAGACACCGAACCCTCTGCAGCAGGGTGGGGCTGCAGGTTCCTGCCAGGCTTGGCGTGGGGATGCTCCTGGCTCCACTGACCTCCCTGTGCTGCCCACAATTCCCATGCAGAATGTCAAGCTGAACCCAGCAGAGACGGGAGCAGCCAGGAAGGGCAGGGAGGAAGGTGGGGACAGCAGAAGTGACAGGGAGCACAGCCTGGGCACCCTGTGCTGCTCTTGTGCCAGTGACTGTGGGCAGTGACAGGGCGCATCTTCCGATGACACGGAGATGCAAGGCAGGATGCTCCTGGAGCAGAGCAGTGAGGGTGGCAGGTGCCACTCAGAACCCATCACGCTGCTGGGATGTGCCCACGGATAGAAGGGGAAATGTGAAAGGGACAGCAGGGAATCAAGGGAACACAACAGCACCTAAAGTAACGGGGTGAAGACTGAACGTTTGAAACAAAGGTGGTCTGGGCTCAGATGGGAGAGAAGATCCATCCTGGAGCATCTCCTTCTCTGGAAGATGATTTCAGAGGGGTTGTGAATGTTTGAACTGGGTCAGGATTTGCCTGGGAAACGCTAGGCTGGTGTTTCTAGTGTGATTGCAACCAAGCCAGCTCTGCTGGGGATGGCTGCAATGTTTATTCCTGCTGGGGAAGGAAGGGATCAGCTGACTTTTAGATCCCCAAAACCATAAAGAGTGGGAATGGGCCCTTTCCCATGATCATGGACCATGATCATATTACTTCACCTCAGGGCTTTTCACATGTCAGCCATGTCCCAAAAAAATTAAATTATGAAAAAGGGGGGAATAAACCCCAATGCAAGCAAGGCAGCACAACCTCCTCCCCTGCCTTAGGGCTGCCCTTACTAAAGGCTCTATTGACCCTGTTTCCTATTTTTGGGACCTGAAAGGTGAACTGTAGATACAGAGCAAACATCCCTTCATGGAGGTCTCTCTTTTCACCCTTAGAACAGAGACCCTCCCATTTCCACAGCTGCTGGGTGCAGCCTCCTGGTCTCACCATCACAGCCTTTTGTCCCAAGCAAGAGCTTCCTTTGGGAAGGCAATTTCATTCCCATGCACCTTCCCTGGTTTTCTTTGGGTCTGTGTCCCCTCTCCAGCACCCCTTTACCCTATTAATAGCCTTTGACTGTCCTCACACCTGCAGACAATCTGGTCCCCAACCACCTCCACCTCCCCCCTTCCTCAAAAGCTTCCCTCAGCTGTCTTTAAGTCGTAGCTGAAATCTGTGGTATGTAGGAGGAGAAATTCAGTCTGACAGCAGTTTAAAACACCGCACTACTTGGCAGATTTAAATGCTATTTTAAATATAAGCTATGACACAACGGACAAAAATAGCATTGAAAATACCCTGTCATGTTCCATATTGCGAGGAATAGGGAAGCAGACCAGGCTAGAAAGGAGCAGAGAGAGGGGCCAGATGGAGAGGAGAGGTTATTTTGTTTGTTTTAAAGAAACTGGATAAATGTATTTTGTATGTGACTGAGTAAATGTGTTTTGTAGAGCAACGAGCCAAAAAAAAAAAAAATAAACCTTCTCATGAAAAATCTACATATTTTATTTGATGTGGGATCTGCCGAAGCAGGTTTGCTGCTCAGAGGATATATTTGTTATCAGGTTGTTTTGGACATGCTCAACACCAGCAGCCACCAGCTATTGCAGACCACTTGGTCTCTGCTGAGTCTTTTTCTTTACTTTATTTATGTTTTAAAAGGAATTTGCTCTTCTCAAAAAAAAAAAAAAAAAAAAAAAAAAAAAAGAAAAAAAAGAAAGCCATCCCAACATCCCAAACACCTGGAAGTGACTTTTCACCTGTGACCCCCAGCTTGGTGACCCTGCACTGTAGGAGCTGATGGATCACAGTGCTGCAGGGTCAGCCCTGGGACCAGGGAGGGAGGGATGCAGGCTGAGCCACCACTGATTTCCCAAGGTACGTGGGTATGTGCCTGGGAAATCCTGGGAGCTCTCCTGACCCTGCAGCACAGTGGCTTTCTGGCATGAGTAGGAAGCATCTGGAGCATCTGAGCCCTGAAACTGCAGGAGAGGTTTCTTCATCATTCTTCCTGAATGCAAGCACTGCTGCAATGCTCTCCCATCACAGCATCTTCTTCCCCACCCCTCCACACTCACTGTCTTGCAGGGCAGGACAAATATCTGTCCACACTTTGGGTTTGTCTCATGGGGCTGGGTTTTGGCTCCTTCCAATCCCCCCAGTGTAACCAGCAATAAATCTGGTAATGAGAATGGCCTGAGGAGAGTCCAAGGGACCTGGGGAGGGGTCAGAATGTGGGCAAGTCTCGGGCTGCAGCACTCTGTGACACACTGAAAAGCCTGGAGATAAGGGCTGGTGTTCCACACTACACTGTCCCTACCTGGGGACAGGCACAGGGCTGGCACCCATGGCACGGAGGTGCCAGATGCCAGCTGTACCCCCAAAATGGGGTAGAATGCGAGGTTCACTGCCAGTACAAGATCTGAGCAGCTCTGCCTCTGGCTGCCTGATTGCAATAGCAGTTGCCCCTCTTATGCTGGGTAATGATTTGATCCTGACAACACCTAAGCACAAGTTACAGGGTGGCTGAGCTGCCAGTGCTCTGATGGACACCCTGGCAGGAGCCCAGGGGCTCCCCGAGCCTCCTGCATCCACTGCTAATCCAGCTGCAGCAGCTGAAACCAGGGGCAAAGACACAGAGTGAAACATTTTCACTATCATCTTAAAAAGGTCTTTTTTATTTTAAACCCAACATGTTATTATAATGGAAACACACAATTTGAAGAGCTTAACAAAACAGTTCAATGAAGCCAGGTTAGCATTAGAATTCAAAGACTGAGATCTTTCAACCCCTTGCAAATCACCATGGCCTGGGAAAGTGTGCCCCCTGGGCAGACTTCTCCGACCATCCAGTGGTGGATGCACAAAAAGCAAAAGCTTTTTATTAGGAGAGAGAACAGCCCTGAATCTGTGCTCCCTTCTCACCTCTGGGTGCCCACTCCCAGCCAGGGGCTCTGGCTCCTCCTGACCCCCTGGCTGTGCCCACCCTTGGGGTTCCTGTGCACAGCAGCTCTTTGGGCACTCTGGAAGGAAGGGAGACCTCGAGCACTGCTCACATCAGGAGCAGCATCACTGCTCACAGGGCCAGAAACTCTGTGACCTTTTCTGGCTCTAGACTAAGGCAGAGCAGGGCACCCACACCCCCACACCTTAATAAAGACTTTAAACACACCCAGTTGCCCTGTCTGCTGCGGGGCAGAGTCAACAGGCAGCAGTTCCAGCAGAGTCTGGCTCCGGGCACGTGTGCTGGGTGGGATTTACTCGCTGGGCAGCTCTCAGCCCTTGTGCACCTTGCACAGGGGGCTGTGTACCCTTCCCAACACCTCCCTGCACATACAGAAACCCAGAGCTAGAGAGAAATAGGAGGAACCATAGTGAGAGGTAAAGGAAAACTCCTGGTAGGGCCAAGAGAGGCTTTGCTGTGCTACAGACTAAGCAGCATCACTGCTGCCAGAGCTGGGAGCTCCACTCACCAGGTAATTTTCATGCCCCACTCAGAAAAACAGAACCATTGCTCTGTGAAAGCAGCTCTGCTGTGCTTCTTTTATATTTCAGATGAAAATAAAAGCACTTCAGTGTCTTTTGATGTGCCTCACTTCCTTACTGACACATTCAGGATGCTCACGAGCATTTTGGTGTGGTGGATGCCCACACCTCAGCAAAGTCCCAAGATTCCCTGGGGAATTGCATCCATGCAAGTACAAGGAACAGCAGAGAAGCAAAGCAAGGATGGGATGTGTCCCCAGCCCCCCTGCTTTTCCCTGGCTGTCACGCTGTTGCAGTACAAGCCCCAGGGTGCAGAGTTAGTGATGCTCAGGTACTTGGCATGGGGGTGAGCAGGCTCCTGCCCACCTGCAGCAGGTATTGCAGGGCCAAAGCTGCTCTCTGGAGTGGTGGCATTGCAGTCCTGCCTCCTCTTACCGCCCTGCCCAGCTGCGACAGCAGCTCAGCTCCCTCCCTTGCTCTTTGTTAACCACTGAATTCATCTGACAACTCAAAGAGAGAGAGAGAGAGGGGAGAGACCCTGCGGCCCGCCGGCGCGGTTCCCCGGCTCCCCCTCTGCCCTCATTTGCAATGCTTGAGTGGGGATTTCTCTATTTACTAAGCTAACAATGTGGGTTCCCAGGGCCTGGGCTGATGATGACATCCCGGCGCTGGTGGGTGGTGGGGCCGGGGGGGCGGTGAGGGCCGGGGGGGATTGCATAATGCCGAGGCAGGCGTGGGAAACCACAGCATCTGCGAGAAAAGTCTCTGCCAGCCGCTTTGAGCGTGGCTCAAAGGGCTCCGGGGGAAGCCACGGGGCAGAGGGAGCCCTGGGGACGCGCTGGCGAGGGGAGATGCTCAAAGCCACGTCCCCGAGCACGGCCCCGCAGGGCGGCACACGGCCCCGCTGCCACCGCCTCCGTCCCCGCAAGGGTTAACGCGGGCTGCCACGGGCCTGCTCATTACAGGGTTAAGGGGGAGATGGCACTTGCAAATCCCTCAATTACCCGGGCCAGAAGGCTGCTCAGGAAGAGCTTTATTAACGGTTGCCGTCTTCATTAACCGCTTCTCCACAGCTGCCTAATTACGGCCGCCATTAGGCTCGCTGGGTCTCCCCACCACCGCCCTGATCCCCGGCCCCCTGATTAACCTTAATTACACCTCCATGCTCGGAACCGGGCGCTCACCTGAGCGGGGCCGGGGCCGGGCCGGGGGCTGCCTAATTGCGGCGGGCGCGGCGGGGCGGCGCGGGGAGGGGGCCGGGCCGGGCCGGGCCGGGCGGCCGCCGCACGCCAGATGTTCGCTGCTGAAAAGGCGAGGGCTGCCCTCGCACTGAGCTAAGCGGTGGCAATGAGATCGCTAGCAGGGCTTTGAGGGAGGCGGTGAAAGGCTTTCCCACCTGAGCCGATGGGGCTCGGCTGGGAGGAGAACGGGGCTTGCCGGCGAGGGAAGGAGAAGGGTGAGAGGGTTGGGAGATGCTGTGGGTGCTGCTGCTTGTGCCCCAGAGATCATCCCCGCCAGGAGACTCGGCGTCCTTGGAATGAGGTGGTTGGAACTAGATGATCTTTAAGGTCTTTTCCAACCGCAACCTTTCTATGATGATCCCTCTGGGTTTCTCCCCAGCCTCGTTCCTTTCCGATTAGGCTATGGGATGTCTCCGGGGCTGGATGCAGCACACGTGGGTATCAATGCCCGGATGCGGCTCTACCGTGCACGCCCAAGCTCAGCATTTCAGGCAAGGCCACAGACGCTACGGAGGGTAGCACAGATCCCACTGCCCTCCAGCTCTGCTGTCCCCAGGATGCCACCACTGCTCCAGGACAGACCCAGTCTGATGTGCCACCCGAACCTCCTTTCACAAAGAAGATGCTGCTGCTTTTTCTCTCACCCTCACTGAACAGGGTGAAGCTCAGCTTCTTAGGCATAGGGAAAATGGAGCCGCTTTCTCCCTCTCCCTCGAAATGCCCCTACCACCTTCTTCCCCCTCCTCACCAGACACCTCCCTTTTGGGAGAAAAGAAAAAAAAAAAAAGATAATAAAGTTCTTATTTCCACCACATTTGCCATTTCCTGGTCTAAGTAAAGAGTGTCATAAGAGTGACAAGCTAAAAGCCACTGATTACTGTGGATTCATGGCATTTATTCTCCTCGTGAAAAGAGCAAACATCAGAAATAATGTGGTCCGGCCTGCCTCGGAGCCTAACCCTGCAATTAATCAGCATTCACGTGCAGAAGGTGCACGAGCATCTGATATGTAGAGAGGGAGTAATTAAAGGCAGATGCAATCTCTGCTTCCCTCAGGCCTGGGGGAGTAACCACGCTCCCCCCTCACTGGGGTGCAGCACCCCAAAATCGCCTCTGATTCCCCTTTCCCGTGGCACAGCCGTTCCCGCTGGCCCCGTTCGCCCTCGCCCGGCGCACGGAACCGGCGGCGCTCCCCGGGGCGAGCGGCCCTGCGGCTCCGCACCGCCCGGCTGCCGGCAGAGCGAGCAGGAGGGCCGGGATGCGCTATTTAGGCGAGCTTCCGATGCCTTGAACCCTGACATGGCTCGGTGACACCGCCAGGTCCCCGGAGAGGGGGATTGCTGCGGGTTGGAGCTTGCCCGGGACTATCAGTGGCCTCCTCCCGCCGGGGTCTGCCCCGCTGCTCCCGCTGATCCTGTCGAGACCTTTAATCCGTGGGGGATCAGCAAATTAATCCACTAAAGCATGAAGGGCCTGAGCTGTGTTTAATCGCTCCCTTTTGTGTCAGGGGACGGCTAAATGACCATACAAGAGAAAAACCCACAGAGGGGTCAGAGGGGAGGCGGTGGGCGATTAACCCCCGTCACCTCCCTCCAGGCTGCGGCGCGGGGTGAGACGGGGCCGAGCCCGCAGCCGCCGGTCCCGGCACCGCTCGAGCTGTGTCCCCTCGTGTCCCGCCAGCCCGTGTCACCCATCGGGGGTAGCACCGCGGCCCAGGGCGCTCTGCAGCTCCCCGGCACCATCGGAGCATCCCCAGCCGCGGGCGAAG